AAAAAAAAAAAGAAAACTATTGGGGGGATGTTTTTTTTTTTTTTTTTTTAGCCAGAGGTGCATGTTTCCACCAGAGAGAAAGTAAGAAAGCACCCCCTATGAGAGATGGTCACACTGCAATCCCTTTTCCTCTATCTTGTCCTTCTTTTGGGATTTTGGGCACACATGCACATGTGCCAGTGTTCTTTGAGGCTGCCAGGCCTGGGACTTGAATCATTCAGTTGGCCATGTGTGATCCCCAACACCAGAACGACCGTGCCGCCACCTGGTCCCCGGGTGCTATTTAACAACAGAATAGTTTCCAAAATTGATGTGAGGCAGTGTCTGGTTTATACCCTGTGTAGTGATTGCATTCATGGTTGCTATATTATTTATCACTTATTGCTGCTGATTAAAGACAAAAAGGGCTTTACTTCTTGCTGTCTTTACCACTGAGTAAGTCTTCCAATGGGCTGAGTTTAGCAATTATTTTAAACTCTCCTCTGATAAAAATTTGAATCTCTGGGATCAGCATTTGGCGTAGTGACTATGTTGGTGGACTCCCATGTGGTCGACTGCAGTTTGATTCCTGGACCCAGCAGCTTAAACTCACGCCAGGCACATGTCCATGCCTGCCCAAGATCCCAAGAAGAGAATGGAGGAGAAGATTGTGGCGTGGTTGTCCCCGCTGGAGGGTGATTTCTCTCTTTCTGTCTCTCTCCCCTCCACCTTTCCTGCAAGCGCACATACCGTATAGAAAAAAAAAATCCCCCCCAAAAAAAAAAAAAAAACCTTTCATCTCTTTTAAGAGAATTGTATAATTTCTGATACTAGGCCAGCAGATGTCATGGTGATTAAAATGTTAGACTCCCACATGGCTGACTGTGATTGAGGTCCTGGACCTGGTGGCTTGCTTTCTCACTTTCCCTCTCTCTCTCATCAAATTAAAAAACAATAATAATAAAATAATTATTTTTTAAAAAGACAATTTCTGATCCTATACCAGAAATCAGAGAGAGAAAATGGATATTCATAGCCAGCTGTCTTGTACCATATCTACTTTGTAAAAGGAAGCAACCTGGAATAATGCTTTTAACAAATCTATTGGAAATTGTGGAGCAAGTTTACTTATTTTAATTTACAACTATGTTGTCATAAACAGATTACTTGCTTCCCTAATTGTCCAACCTGACTCAGGCACTTCAGTGAACATATATTCCTGGTATTGAGTTTTGTTTTGTTTTGTTTTTTAAATGAATTTGGGACTGGCATGTAGAGTGGTGGTTAAGGTACTGGATTCCCACATGGCTAACCGCGATTTGAATCCTGGAGCTGGCAGCTTGCTTTCTTACTCCCTTCCCCTTATTCTAGCCCTCTCTGGTCGAATTAAAATAAATAAATGAATAAAGTTAAAATTAATAAAATAATAATAACAAAAATAAATGGCTCTTTTTTAAAAAAGGAGTTTGGTATCTAAAGTTAAGAACCAGAAATGCTATAATGAATATATTACTAAGTGTCTCATAAGAATGCTTTGAGAATGAATAAGTTTAGTTTTTTTTAAAGAATAATTTATTTAATTTTATTTATTTTTATTATTTTTAAATTTGCTATAGGGCATTTTCGCTTCCCAGAAGGGAACAGACAGAGAGAAAACAAGCCTTCAGGTTCAGGACTCAGATCATTATGGGCTGGGGCTGGCAGGTGGTATGGTGGTTGAGGGTACTGGACACCCTCATGGCCTACCTTGGTTCAAGTCCTGGATCTGGCAGCTTTCTTTCTCACCT